AAATACTATTGATGTCTAAATATATTGATCACATCACTGAAAAAAACCCCAGCTATTGAGAAGTCTGGTGTTTAAATACCGGATGTTAAAATTTTTTATGTTGTATTGAATTGATAAGTGACTCCTGACCTGAATGCTTCCAATAACCACAGAAAACAGTGCTTTTTGAGTGATAACCCTCACAAAACACTGATTTTAACTTACTCTCCTTGAAAGACCTCTGAGAATATTTGCACTGTCAGCAGCTGAAACTGACCACAGAAATGGTCACTAAATAATTTAGAAACTGTGAGATGACTTAGGCATTGAAGACGCATACAAGGTAATTAAAAGCGACCTTCAGGAGAATGAAGTCCTGACTGCTTTGGCGGTTCTGCAGCTGGGGTCGATGCCTGTGTTGTACGGAGGCATATGTTCAATTTACAGTTGTAATGAGGGACACGGGATGTTTTGATTCTTCATTTGCTGTGCTCATCTCTGGAGGCTGCAATTGCCTATATTAAAATATGAACATAGATTCTTTTGTGGAGGATAATAAAATATGGAAGATAATACATGCCACATGAATATATGGTTGGCATATGGCTTTTCTCTTTGAGTACAGAACTGTTGTCCTTAACTGTTATCATGGAAATGTTCATTATTAGCACTGAGGAACAAGATCAATTCCTCTGATCGCATTAGTTTGATGATTATTCCATTTTAACTTGTATATAGTGTTTGCAAAGGTGTTTTTAATAGACTGTTCACTTATAAGGGCAATGTTGTGTTTTAATATTTTCTAATCAGCAAAAAAAAAAAAAGAAAGAGAGAAATGCATGTTATAAAGTTTTTTGTCCCATTGAATGTACACAAGACATAGTAAAAGATATAAAGCAGGTTTTTTTCTTTTATTTCTTTTTTATTTTACAATTTTAAAAAAACAAATGGCATTTCATTTTTAGATTTTATTCTACATGTTGCTATACTTGAAAATACTAGTACATACTCTTGGGATAAACGTAAAGAAATACTTATAATGTCATGTTGTGATATAGGTTAATATTCAGTAGGTGGGCCACCTTTTCATTTAGTGAAAACTTGCATCATCTCAATAATCACTCTATAAAGTTTGCAGAATTCTACTGAGCCTGACCATAGCCAGGTCCTACTCTTGGCTTTAAAACAAAACAAAACAAGACAAGACAAATACAATCTTTCCCTTTTTTAAAAAAAAAAAAATGCATTATAGAATAAGATCTTGAAGTCTCTGATTTGAATAAATAGGTGAAGGCTAATTAGAGTTAGTAAAATATGCAAGATTCAAAGAAGTATGTTAAGTCAGTAGTCTCATTCAAATAGACGTAGCTAAGAACGTTCTGTTTCTACACTGCCCGGTACCACCCTTTGGTTCACTGCTTTTTATTAGTTCCCATTGTGTGGGGTGCCACCTTCCATACCGTGTCACTCTGATCATGTGCCTGAAACTTGATCGGTCACCGCGCCCACCCACATCCCTGGTCATACAGATTGTTCTAGAAGTTGTACGTTATTCAGACTTGGCCAATATGAGTCACACTCAGGATGTTTCCATTTTGAGATCTGGAGAGAAAGGTCTTGGGTTTGGGAGTTGGGAAGTAGCCGAGCAAATAAAGCCCGTCAGAGGTAAGCGACAGCGCGGCCCAGAGAAGGCGGATGGAGCTGCTTTGTGTTCTCCTGGGGAAACACAGGGCTGTCCTCCGCTTGCAGTGTTCCTTCCAAAACACCCCTCGTTTTTGCTTCCTGCTTAGTTTGGGTGGCAAAAGTCCTGTCTCGTGGGATAGGCAAGAATTCGTAATCAACGTGGTATTTGTCTGTAAATGGGCTACTTCTAATATACACACTCTCTTCCCTTAAATACTCAGTGGCTTCCTACAGATTATTTACACAAAGTGTGGACTCCACTGATCAGGAAAAGATGACTTTTACTTTTGTGAATAAGCATAAACCCTGAATGAACAACATCAAAATTATTCGATCTGTGCGGCATGAATGTTCATCTATTTAAACAGTGTCCACAACCTTGCTTGGGCCCTGGATCCCAGTCTTTATATGTCTATTTCTTCTCTCTACTTTTCAAGTCAAGTTCATTGGCCTACCCCATGCCCTTGACATCAGATTTCGCAGCCCCTGGCTTCCCTCCAAAAGTCTCATTGTTTCACAAGCCTTGTTTCCAATGTATCCTTTTCGATCCACTGTGTGAGCGAGGTGGACCTGAACACTTCAGAAAAGTGCAAAGCATTTGGTTGTTATTAGAGTAGGGATAGCTGACTCACACATGTAAAACATTAAAGAAATCTTACAAATGTTTGAGGGACTTTTTTTCTGTTGTTGTTGTTTGGGGCTGTGGGGCATTTAACCACATCCTGACATGCACACTGGAGCTCTGTTTCTTTCCAGGTATAGGTTTAGGCTAATAAAACAAACAAGGACAATATTTTTATTTTCTTTTCCCAGCATTTTTATTAATTTACTTAAATGTAACATGCTATACACTGTTCAGCCTTTTGGGAGGTAGGAGGAGGGAGGGATTCTATATCTTTATGAGGAATCGCCCCAAAACCAGCACTCAGATGGGGACACACTCTGGCTGATGCATCCTTGACATTGTGGCAGGGCAGGGGTGGGGGCACAATTCTCACAGAGGCAGAGCTCCTAAAGTCATGATGATTTTAAAAAAATATACAATATTCAGGGCTGGAACTGCTTTTCCTTCAGTAGCACAATCCAGCTACAAAGGGGAGCAGAATTCTCTCTCAATATTGAGCAAAGATGCCGTTTTCAAATGCAGGAGAATCTCACCACTCCTTTGCAAACTTTCTGTATCTCTGCCGGTGTGTGTGTGTGTGTGTGTGTGTGTGTGTGTGTGTGTGTGTGTGTGTGTTCCCAGGAGAGGTAAGGGAGATGTTTTCTATTTTTGGCTTCTGCCAGCTTTGATACATTTGGCTAGAAGCTGTGTGAGGGTTGTGAGCCGTGATGCTGACTGCTTCCACAGTCTCTTCGGTAATCTACACGGCTCCGTGAAACACGAACCCAGTCTGTGCCCTCTTTGCTGTTGCCGTGGTCAGCTAATACTATATTAGTCTCATCAGACATTTAATTTGGGTTGTGGGTGGTCCATCTTCATATGTCAGGTGCAATTATTATTCAAAAATAAAAGAATGAAGATAATCTAGCTCTGCTAGGAATGCATTACATTATAGCTCTCAGACTCGGTTACCAATTAAATTTTAACATACAGAGTCCAACCACAAAAATGAAACATTTTTAGTATCCCATTTGTCAGAAAGCAAGTTGGAAGCCAGGTGTCATGAAAGGCAACTGTAGCCATAAGTCAATACACTGCCTCAAATGCATTTCTTTTGAAATCCCAACATTTTTAAGGAATGAGAAAAAGATGACCTTTTAGAGGATAACTTTATGGGAAAGTTTCTTAATAAAGCTAATTCTTAAATAACAGATTAACTGGAAGTGCTAGTTAAGCATTGACACAATTAAGGTATAAGAGAAGGTCACAAAATACCAGCCTTTCTGGAAGTTAAACTTTAGTAAAAAGACACATTTAGTGAGTCTTTTTCGTGTACCAAAATACCACGTCCAAACAGTCAAATAAACAGACCTTTTCAAAACAAGAAGTTGGAAGATAAAAACTGCAGCATCAACATACTCTTATAGTTATCACTTGACAAATAGAACAAATAGCATTTTCTACATTTTTTTAAAAACCACTACAGACACTGTAAATAAGGCTTAAGTATTTGTTGAGTGGAATACAATGTGATGTTGACCGGCAGACTCTGCGTACTGTTTCCTACACCTGCTCTAACAGAATGAATTTCAATATGGTTACATTATGGAACCTTCCAGAGCTCTTTAAATGGACAGGAGACGAGTCTTATTTGGTTTTGTGAAGACTAGATCATACAGCTTGAACAGGTTTCAGTATGTGGTCGTACATATGCCAGGACATATTTGCTCAGATTAAGCCCCTGGGAGAGTTGCACTTTGTACCGAATTCCTTGAGAGCTCCTCTCGGGAGATGCATAGTGGAGACTTATAAATGGTCCTAACGTACTAAGACAGCCTCTTCCTCATCTACCACTGTACACGTGGCAGAAAATCGTTAGGAAGGAATGAGGGTAGGCTACTAAGGTGTATGTAACAATCAATTTTCCTCCTTTTAGTATGTTCTCGGAGATCCATTGACGGAGAGAAACATTGAGCCTCCTGGTCTGTTTCTTAGGGAAGGGAGCCTTAGCAGTGATCCATGTTTTTAAGTGATGGCAGACACCTGTCAGTCCAGCCACGGCACAGCCCTGTGGCGTGTGTGGCCGATCGTTCTCTTTGCAGATTGTCACTGATGGCACAGGGACAGTCACACAGCTCCTCCAATGTCATCTCCTAGCCTTGGAGTGTTTGCCAAGTTCTAAAAACACTGTCGTGAACATGCGTGTGGTGTGCTGAAGAAAAAGAAAAGCCGAATCAGAGGGCAGCTGCCGAGGATACTCTTTAAAACCCCGAAAGATATTTAACATCCTATTAAATAAATAACTTAGAAGGAAATAGAAAGGGATGAAGGCAGAATGCACAAGCATACCATACTATTTGTTTGTTAGAACAGTTTCACACTAACATGTACAATTTTGATTCCTATCCAATGCTTCCATGATGCCACGCCCAAATCTCCTTTGGTTGTGCACATACTATGACCCAAGTGGTTTCCAGTAAATGCTTGGGTGTCTCACTGCTCATTGGATCACTAGGCTTGAATGAGCAACAAAAGTCTTTGATATGAGTTCATGTTCCATAAATAACTTTTCCGAAGATCATTCAACAGATTGTTTCGTGTCCCTTATGTTCTATCTCAGAGGTTAAAAAACAAAAACATAAACCAAACACTTAACCAAAAAAAAAAAAAAAAAAAAAAACCCAGCCACAATGCTGTTCACTTAGGAATAACTTCCATCCCATCTGATCCGCCTCTATCTCGATTATAAGGCATGACACAGAACTAATTAAAAGAACATCACACATCAGCAGTGAGTACAAAAACTTTCCAAGACTTTCCTTCTTTCAAGCAAGCAGATGTCTGCAATGCATCTTTGCATTTGAGCTACTACTGTGTTCATGGAGAATACCCACTATTCCCGGCCAAAGAGGTGTAGGTCTCCTGCCCCATGAGCGCCCCTCCTATGAGTGCACCACCATTGGAAGAAAATGAGCTGAGGTGTTTTTCCTCCGAGTTTTCTGTCCTCTCCTGGGTGCGCCTTTGCCGTTCAGTGCCACGTACATCTGTCTCCCGTTGTGCTGCCAGTTAAAGGACGCGTAGGTATTGTATCCATTTTCCTCTATCCTCTCCTTCAGCTTACAGTCATTGTTAAATTCTTTCTGCAAAGGAAAAACAGGATCTTTTATTCTTATGCCAATGACACTCGATGGCAGGGGTCATCTTTAGAACCCCAGTTCCGGGGCTCGTTTGCTGTTGACATTTGGACCTAAATTGTGCACTTAACACACAAGTTCTGCAAGAGAAAAACCCATAACCACAAAGCGGGTTCTGTATGTGAAGGCACATGATTTATTTTCATTGGTCATCATGACCACATATTGAGGCCCTTTTAAAGAGCTGATGTGCCTGGAATCTGACATGGGTTAAGTGCCTAGAATCATGATCACCAAACATACATTCCAATGACAATGTTTGTGATGAGTCAATGATCAAGAAGAGTGTTATAATCTTGTTTTCAAAGTAATGGTGAGGGTGCCTCATGGGTAAAACTGCATTGGAAGGAAAAAGTGAGCTTTCCAAGCTCTCAAACTTGATCTACCTATAAATCCACAATAAATGCACCCACATTGATGAGAAAGCAAATCTCAATGCAAACCATATAGTTCCAGATAACCATGAGGCTGGGGGAAAGCAGGGTGTCTTCCTCTCTCCCCAATACCAGATTCCTCAATTTTGTAAATCATTTACAATTTTTCATAATTTGGAATTTTGATCGATTTTATTCTGAGATCTAGGAATGACGGAAAACAAAGACACGGAACGCCTTACTTTGTAAATTACCATATCAAAGAAATTATAAATATGGTGACTAGCACTGCTGTGTTGTATAAGCCTGAAGACTTTGATCTTGGGAAATTCCACTCTATAGCTATAGTGCTTTGGCTTTATTTCAAGTGACCATGTGTTTTTAAGGGGATCTTTTGGGACAAGGATTGATGTCTTATTCATTCCATAAATCCAGGATCTCACTCTGGAGTTAATAACAAAGGGGTAGGGGTACCTCACTAATTTCTAGACTCTGGCTTCACAAATGTTCTTCTCCCCTAATACCAAAACTAAAGTAGTTAAGAAGCTAAATAACTGGGGCTTTTGGTCTTCTGGTCTACCTTCTTCTGAACCAATGGCATCGTAGGCATCTTTCAGTTGAGGCTTCTACTGGGCAGTTCAAATAGTTTCTCTCACCTCAGGACTTTTTGAAATTTCTACTTAATTTACAATTCCCCTGTACATGTGTATATTTAAATATCCAGGTTTCTGTGGACTAGATTATAATTTTGAACATTATCTGAATCATCATAGACAAGTAGTTTATGTTAATGTGGTTAGTTTAAGCTTTGTTATCTAGAATTAATGTATTCTATGTGTTTCTCTTCTATAAAGTAATATTTAAAAGTAACATTTCAAATAATAATTTATTTGGTTAAAAGTAAAAAGAAAAGGTAAATTATTTAAGGTAATGATTTTAATAAAATTCTGCATTTTGAAATCCTTAGTATGGTTTTTTTAAAAATTTATTTATCTTAGTGTATCTAAAACTATATGATTTTCTTCATGGATAATTATATTTGTTCAACAAATGGGGTTTAGAGACTGGGAGGATAGAGATAATTTTGGCTGATTTTATATTTGAAACAGAGCTGGGTATAGAGAAGTAGTAGTGGATACTTAATTATTTTTTTCTCCCCAAAATACATTTATAAGGCAATGCTTCTTAAAGTGTAGCAGACTCTTCATCTCCGGTGTTTTTAATATTTAGACCATAGCTCAAGCTCTGTATAAGAGTATCCCCAGGAGGGCCTAGGAATCTATGTTGTTTATAGCATTTAGGCACATCCTAAGTATTAAAGGTGAAAAAGGAACCTAGGCTAGAGCAAGATCTTAAAGTAGGGTCTTCGCTGAGAAAAAGGTTTTGGATTTCTTTAGGACACCAGGAACATTTCTTTGGTCCTCACATTGTGTTCCCTTTGAGGACCTATTCTATTTAAACTCAGTTTTATAATTTATTTATTTTATTCTGTTAATCAAGAGAAGACTAATATTGCAGTAGATGCACTGTTCAGAGAATAAATAATGAAAACATGAAAGATATACATTTTCCAAAAGGAAATAGAGAAAAATATGCAAGAGAGACTAGAATGTGGAGCTGGGTTCATCAGTCACTCTGGGTGCCTCATTGGTATTTTCAAGAAGACTTACGGAATTTACTCCCCAACACATGAAGATAGGGATGACAAGAGTTGTCACCTGACATACAGAATTATATTAGGTACGCACTCATGAATTTTGATGACATGCCCTTTAGATGCAAAGTTCCTAGTCCACTCCATCCTGGACAGGAAATTCAATGTGAGATTTTTTATTTAATTTGAACCAGTTATAATTTTTCACTCTTCCCGATGGTAAGGCAAAATCCCAGGACAGTGACCCACAGTTAGAGAATGGGTTCTTCCTGAGGCAGAGGGAGGGAGAGCACAGACGGTAAGGAACTGAGCTGACTGGAGAGGTAGCTAGGTTTACGCGTTACCCAGCTGTGTGGACTCTGTGGTTCTAGGTGCTGTGGAAATGGTGGAGAACAAGGCAGACCCTGACCTCTGGAAGTTCACAATCTACTGGCAGAAGACAGTCAACAAAAGCACATTAATGAGAGAAATATCTGATAAGAGCCATCGCAGGTCATTAAAATGGAGGGATGTGATAGGAAGCAACTGGGCTCTACTTCACATATACAGAGAACGAAGTCCTCCACAGACCCAGAGGTTGGGAAGAAGTGTAGGCACATGGCTGTGTTGGCACAGAAAAAGGCGGGGCAGCGGGAGGAAAAGTATGAAATACTTTTATGACATTGTTAAGTTGAGAGTGATTCATTTCTCCTGGAGGTCGCCTTTTTAAAGAAATATATTTTATCAATTAAATACTTCGACCTTTTATTCCAATTACATTTTTTTTTTTTTCTCCCTCAGTCTAAACTCGTTAGCTGGCTTTACTCTACAGCATTGTTTTTGACTGTGTGTGTGTGTCAGAATCTCTTCAAAGAATAGTCATACACCTGGTTCTCTTATCAGTAATTCTGGTAATAATAGATTAAAAAGGGACCTGGGCATGGTTATTGAAAAATGAAAGAAAGAAAGAAAGAAAGAAAGAAAGAAAGAAAGAAAGAAAGAAAGAAAGAAAGAAAGAAAGAAAGAAAGAAAGAAAGAAAGAAAGAGAGAAGGAAAGAAAGAGAGAGAGAGAGAGAGAAAGCCTCAAAAGTGATTATGTTCTGAACCCCTTAATGGAATCACTTCTTAAAATAGTCTATTACTCATCTAGGCTCATTAGTAGAGAAACACATAATGGAAAATTTTAACTAAAATTTCTCTGACTCCCTCCATCCCAAAAGCATCTAAAGGGACTGACCCAAATGCATCTGACTCTCCAATTATAAGTGGACCTGATATGAGTAGCCTGTTCTATATCCAGACCAATTATGGAGTCAAGTTCCAAGGATTGTCAAATTGTGGTTACCAAACCAGTAACATCAGGAAAACCTGGAATCTCATTAAAAGTGCAAATTCTTAGGTCCTACCACAGACTTACTAAATCAGGAAATCTGGGAGTGTGTTTTACAAAGCCGATGTGTACACATGCTCAAGTTTGAGAGCCGCTGGCCCGCCCATCCTTATATTCCTCAACAAAATTAGTTTATTTACCCACTTTAAAGTGACATTTCTTAATATCTGCTATGAAACACCTGGGTGTATGTGCTCAAAGCGCTGGCTGGGTACCAGCTCCATAACGGACTTAATCACTCTTGGTAAATAAAATTCTGGGGTTGATTGGCACACAAAATGACGAATTCTTCCCCACTTCAGATCTTAACAGAATACAAAACACCCAAACCCCTGTTTTATCTTCAGCTGTAACACATCCACATTATATGGGTTTCTACTCAATTCAAGATTTTTTTCTCAATGATTCTTCTCCAAGTTGTCTGCAGTGCCCATGCCAATGTGACCAGATGCTTCCGTGAGAGTCTGTCCAGTGAGCAATTCAGAACATTGACGGACGCCAGCAACAGCCCGCGTGGTAGACTCACGGGTGACCCACAGAGGAGATTGTCGCTGCCCTGCCAGCCCTTGAAGCTCTGCTGGCCAGCCCATGTGGCTCTGTTTACTAGCAAAGGGACGATGACAGGGCTCTAATGTCTGGGGGAACATGCCAAGGCTGTGGCAGTCATTCACTGCAGTGCGTTTTGAAGATAAAAGCAGAATACTTACCGAGCCGTACAGTCTCCCCTTCTTGTTCATGGCTAAGTAATAGTTGCTGTTAATGGCTTTGACGGCAACAACCCCGATTTCCACTGACGTTATCTTCAGGATACCTGAAACACAGAGACAGGAGCTGCGGTCACAGAAACTCAGTTGAGAGAAAAACAAGTCAGAAGAAACTACTGAGTTTATTCTTGACGGTTCTAAAATCGAAAGATTAAAAAGAAAGGAAATAAAACCCCAACCTCTTTCAATGTGTCTAAAACCCAGAAGCTGTGTAGAAACAGGTAGTAGTTCTTGAAAAGAATTCCCCTGGATTTCCCTCTGAGCATAAAGGGGAAATATTGTTTTAATTAAAATGCTTCCTTTGCTAACTCTGCATTTTCAACCCCATAAATATTGAAACAACTCTACTCATCTTAGTCTAGATTTCCCAAAAGCTTATCAGAGCACACATCTGTACTGTGGCATTAGATGAAATTTGTAGCATATGTCAATAACATGTCAGATTTACCTCAATCTGTAGAAACAGTGGTAAGCTATTTCTCCTTTGTAGGACCTTTAGGTAAACGAAATCTTTTGGCTACATTTAACTGACGAATTTATTTTTGGCAAATGTGTTGACATTTCAAGGTACAGAGAGACTAATCCCACATCCACATTGTCTTTAAAAATAGCAGGATCAGTACTCTGCATTGGAAGGGAAATCCATCATCATTTTTTAAAGTTTTTCTGGAAAGAATGGAAAACTGAGGGAATTAGTAACTGCTAGACATGAGTTTCGGTTGGTGCATTTACAGATCATTTTCTCTGAAAAGTTTATAAGTAACTAGAGAAATGGCATTTGGTGTTCTACTTAAAATGCCCACTTACTTTAGGTTAAGAAGAGCTTGGATACTGACTAGTTAACTTCTTAGTTTGCAACTCTTGGGAGCTTTCTCAGACTGGGAAGCTGCCTTGTGATTATCGAAGGCCTCTGCATGCAGAGCAGCTGGCTCTGAGTCCTGACTTTGCATTTATTGATGAGTGACTTAGCAGAAATCTCTAAACTGCCTGTTTCCCAATCCACTTGTGAAATGTGCAACATAATAACACCTCTTTCATAGTCCTGTTGTGAGGATTAAATCAGATACATATATTAAATAATTAGAACTTTCCCAGAGCTTAGTGATTTTCTTTTATTTTTTTAAAAAAGTATATTTTTATTGATTTTTTTAAAGAAGTTTCAATATCTAGAACTCTTGGAGGGGAACCTCCTGCTAATAATAATAATTAAGAAATAATCCCCAAGGGAACTTGTTGGAAAACCATCTGACAAAATGTCTCATCCAGATAATAGTCTTTGGCAGACACGCGACAGAGGATAATGCCTGAGTTCCAGAGAAGGAAATCGAAAGCACTTTGTTTATGCCATAAGCAGAGGACAGAGAGCAAGTCAGATGGTGGGGATCTGGGGCAAAACATTTAGGCTGCTATTTACTCTGCCGGCCCAGGAGGCAAGAGGGTGGGAGAGGGAGAAGTATATATGTAAGAGCAAAACATGAATCGGCTGCCTCCTGCCTGGCATCGTTTGGGGATTGAGTCCGCAACCCGGGCATGTGTCCTGACTGGGGATCAAGCCAGCAAACTTTCAGTGCAAGAGACGACATCCAACCAACTGAGTCACACTGGCCAGGGTGTGATTTCTTAATTATTATTAGTGGGAGGTTCTCCTCCAAGCGTTCTAGATGTTGAAACTTCTTCCCCAAGTTGGGTAATCCTAAACAGAACCCACAAATTCCTATCGACTTAGCCCATCAGATCTGGAAGCGGATCCTATGTGGTCATTCACCATATGTTACCTAGCATAAGAAATACCACCCTGGACTTAGTGGACAGACTGTGTGTTTATATTCTTCCCAATGGAAAAGAGTGTCTTGTTCTCAAGACACGAATGGCTCCCTTTCTTCCCAGGTTGATGGGCCATGTGGCGGTCAGTAGAAATGCCTGAGTTCCCCTACTGCAAAGTTGACATAACCAGAGAGGCTTGTGCCAGGACTCCAGCCATAGACCAATCTGTCCAGGTGCCCTGAAGGAAGCCTCCCACCCCACACACCACACACTTCTGTTTCACAAGCTCAAACCAATGGAAGATGGGAAAGGGGGGAAGAGACAGTATCTATACTTTTAATGTACATTCTTCAGGCTGGCAGTTGCCTTCAAGGTATGAACTCCTACTACACATTGATTTGCATATTGGAAGAAGGACTCTCTTGTAGTTTATTTCTTTAACTCGTAACAGTCCTATAAGGAGCTATTACTCTTCTCAGTTGCAGATGAAAAAATGGAGGATACTGAGGTTCCAAAACTCGCACACAAGGTGATAAAGCCGGTCAGGAATGATGGATCTGACATTTAAACTTCAGTTTCAGAAAACCTTGCTCTCAATCTCTGGCTATTTTGCTTCTACATCCTCTCTCTTTGCTCTTTTCTGTTCCCACAAGGGATCCTGTTGGAAAACCGTCTGACAAAATGCCTCATCCAGATAATAGTCTTTGACAGACACACTACGGAGGATAAGGCCTGAGTTCCAGAGAAGGAAATCGAATGCACTTTATTTACGCCATCAGCAGAGGACCGAGAGCAAGTCAGATGGTGGGGATCTGGGCCAAAACATTTAGGCTGCTATTTACTCTGCCCGCCCAGGAGGCAAGCAAACACTGTCAGTGAATGGCAAGGTGTTCCCTACGTATGATTTTGTAACTAAACTGTTAGAATGAAAAGGAATAAAAGATGATTTATCAAAGAACAAACCAAGACTTTTGAAGGTGAATGAGCAGCAGGGGGATTAAACTGTAGTAACAGACGACGTCGGGAACGGGGAAAGGGTTGCGATGTAAAATATTAGCAAATCCTTGACTGGCTTCTTCTGAGTGCACTGCACACGGTGGGTCATAGCAAGCTTGGGGATCCATGGCTTTCCTTCTGCTCTGCACAACATAGGACCTCAATATTCAAGAAATCCACCCATCAACCAACCATTTGTCCCACTCTACAACTAGTTAATGCTAACTCGCAAAGGTCCAGAATGCTTCAAGAAAGAGGGAAGATGTAGGTGATTTAAGGCCCTTTCAAATTCTGGAAATAATTCTTTGGATACATCATATGCCAGTAAGTCATAATTTAATAATCTTTAATAATGGACAACGGCTGCCTTTGTCATAAATATCTGTGATGTGAGAGTGACGTTCTGAGAAACTCGAGTCTAGAGGACTTCTCTATTTTTCATAAAGAATCTCTCTAGTGTTCTCTGTCCTTTGGTGAGCACGATCAAGTTTGCCTATACAAGTCTTTTTGGAAAAGAGCACTAGAATTTTGTTAGATGGTTGCCAGATTAATAACATAGGTCTATATGTGTATACTTTGATGCAAACTTAAATGTCAATTGAAGGACAGCCTCTTTGGAAAATTAAGAGAAGGACATACGGGATCTCTCCTTACTTCTCACAACTTATATAAATCTACAATTATCTCAAAATTAAATTTATCAAAGAAGCACTGTTTTGGTACTGAAAGAAACTAACACCTGAAAATTATATCATCAATAAAAAAGCACTGTTTTGGTACTGAAAGAAACTAACACCTGAAAATTATATCATCAATAAAAAGAACCATAAATGATATTTCCCATTCATATAATTTAGATAGTTTGTTAATTTAAAGACATTTCCTTGTAGTAAAATTCTATTATTTATATCAAGTTGTAACCACATCAATTTTGATCTCTCTCAAAAGGTGAATATGCCTGGTGGTATTGTAAATGTATTTAAGGGCTTTTGAAGAGTTTTATACAAATACATAGGAAGACCTATAAGAAGAAGAGCACCCTCTCAGGAAATGGTAATATAAAGTCAAGTTACGGCTCTCTTGCAAAGTCCGTTTTATTGGTAATATAAGACAAATAATGTATGAGAGTATTCCAATAAAACATATGAAATGATAGTGAGTGCTTCATTGAAGACCAGGGAGCGAAGAGGAAGCCAGTTCATGCGGGCTGAGATTTCAAGGAAGACTGACTGTTGGAAGTCAGACTGGAACTGAGTTTTGTAGGGTGAGTAAGAAGCATCCAGAAACAAGAGAAGGGATGAGCAAAAACATTATGCTGAACAATATGGTGTTTTCAGAAAAATCATGTTTGGTTTATCAATTAGAGTAAAAGGAATCAGACAGGATGTTGTAACAAGTGAGGCTGGAGAGTTAAGTCAGACTCAAGTTCTCAAGAATCTTGTACGGATTATGATTTAGGTAAATAGAAAATATTTTACCTAAAAATATATAACATTTTAAAGACATATCAGGAAAAGCCAACATTTAGCTAATTCCTTTACGTAAATAATAGCCATCTGTAAAGTTTATTTTGAATTATATTTGAAACCCTAAATAATAAAGTTTGAGAATCAACATTACAAAAGTGATTGTGACATGAATCAGCTCCTATGAATGGACAAATCATATCAAATGATGCATAATTACCAAAGTAATGGGGAGAATTTTGTAAACTGTTGAACTCCAAATGGAAATAACCTACAAGTCATAATGTTCATATAAATCATCTTTTCTTTTATCTTGCAGGGTGTGTTATGTTTTTTATTTTTGAGACATTTGGAAAGTTTAAATCATGGACTGTAGTATCAGTGTTTTAAATCTCCCAAGTGTCATGTTTGTTGTAGTCAAGAACAAAGACCTTGCCCTGGCCAGTTTGGCTCAGCGGTTGAGCGTCGGCCTGCGGACCAGAGTCCCAGGTTTGGTTCCCGCTAGGGGCATGTACCACAAAAAGGAGGAGAAGGAGAAGGAGAAGGAGAAGGAGAAGGAGAAGGAGAAGGAGAAGGAGAAGGAGAAGGAGAAGGAGAAGGAGAAGGAGAAGGAGAAGGAGAAGGAGAAGGAGAAGGAGAAGGAGAAGGAGAAGGAGAAGGAGAAGGAGAAGGAGAAGGAGAAGGAGAAGGAGAAGGAGAAGAAGAAGAAGAAGAAGAAGAAGAAGAAGAAAAACCTTGTTCCATGTTGAAGTATTACAGGTGAAGTGCCACATTGTAACTAACTTTTAAACGGTTCAACAACAACAAAAAGTATATAAACT